GTGTAGATGAAGCGCTTAGGGACATGGTTTAGTGGGCATGGTGGTGTTGGGTTGACGGTTGGACTCGATGATCTTAGAGGTCTTTTCCAACCTTTATGATTCTATGATAGTATGTATATGCATAGTCAGCAAGATGGATGGATGAGATGAAGTTGGGATGTATACACTGTATCATCAGTGTATGTCAGCTGGGTTTTTTGTGAACAAAGGGAAATATAGTAGCTTAGAGTGTGAATTAACTTCGTTATCCAGCAGTGTCTTGTGTTAATACCTACCTTCGCGTGGGAAGCAGGCAGAACAAACAGGCCTTTTCCAGAAAAGAGTATGAAATAAGAGATGTGGGGGGGGGGAAAGGACTCATGTGCAATAACAGCTGGACTACAGTTTGTGAATATACTAAGACGTTTGTTTGAACTCTTTCTTTCTCCCTCTGGACAAACAAAGCAATTAAGGCATAGACAGTTAATGCAGTGTGATGATTGCCCCTTTTTTTTAATTATTGCAGTAAGTACGTACATATTTAGATGATCAGATTTCTACCCTGAATTTCTGTGTACACCCACCTAGAGAACTTCATCTGGATACTTCTGTATCAAGTGTTTAATGCATGGTCTTGGGCAGCAAGACTTTCTGTAGTCAACCTGACTGTAGAATGATGTTCTTTCCTAAAACCAACTGTTGCATCAAGTGGTCAGGTCTTTTTCTGGTAGTGTTCATACTTGTCATTGAGGGAGAGCAGTGCACTGTAGGTTGGTAGTGTGTTTTTCTGGTCTCTACTAAGAGCAGCTTTCAAGATGAAGACCTAAAGAGAGGATAGGAGGACAGTTAATAATCATTTGGGTACCCTAAAAGCAAAGTACTGCAAATCAGATGGGATTTTCTGTTGTGATTGGGTTGATTTGCTGCGTACAAGCAGTTTGTTGATAGGACTGAGGGGTGCTGCTCCTACATGCATGCTGAGGTTGCTGTTGTAGGCCTTAACACGCAGTTTGTAGTTTCAAGGGTGCTGATTTTGACACCTCGCTTGTTTTGGCTCACAGAAACTTCTCTTACACCATAAAAGCAATACATCATCTGATTTGTTTTCATCATGAATATTTGTCTTTTCACAATTGTAGCTGCTGTGCCCTGCTTTGATGAAGATGAGAGTAACAGGAAAAACTAAACACTAAATCTTTTACCTAGCTCAGAATTACCCTTGACTTTCTGAAGGAGGTCTCCACACAGGATAGTCTTTCCATGAGCTCTGCACCCTAGAGCTCTGTTTCTTGTGTTGGATACAAGAATTCACACAGTTCTTAAGATGACTCAATCTTATTTATGCTCTTCAAACGAAGCATATTCCTTTAGCTACAACTGGATGACCATATTTATTATTTGCTGCTGTGAAAAGCAATAATTAGCTAAAATGCTGAAATTCGATTTAGCTCTCATTAAGACTGTTTCAGGAAAGGGAAAGATGAGAGAAGTAATCACTGGGAAGACTAAAGGCTGCTAAAACAGAGGTGAAGCACAGAAGGATCATCTTAGATTTGGTTTAAAAATCTGTGCATTTATTCCTTTCATGTAAGAAAATCCGTCTTTGCTGTAGTTGTAATATTTATGACAAAAGGAAATGAGCATTCTTTGAGAATTTTACTTCAGTTTAGAAATTTTGGATGCATTTATTTAAGAAAGGATGGATGGGAAAACTCTTTGTTTGAACAGCTTTATTTTATGCCTTACTAGAATTTCAAGTATTTTATTTAAAAAACCAAAACCAAACAAGAAAAGAGCAGGCATTTACATGCACTTCTAATGAGAGTTGCTTAATTCAGGCCTGTTCATTGTTGTATTTTTGTTTGCCTTGAAATAATAGGATGAAGGAAGTGTGAAAGAAATTCCTATTACACACCATGTGAAAGAAGGATGTGAGAAAGCAGATCCAGCACAGTTTGAACTACTTAAGGTTCTTGGACAGGGATCATTTGGAAAGGTAAGATAACGGACTTTGTTTTCATCTGATGTCCACTCTGAACCTCGTTTGTCTTATGTTGTACTTACCTTGTAGTATTATAGCAATAAGGGTAGGTATAAATCTAACAAATCTGAGTACAGGTAGATACGCTTATGGAAATTGCCCTGTTTTGGAGGAAGTTATCCATCCTGTTTTGCAGTTGGCTGATGTGAGGGTTTTTTGGTTTTGTTTTTACTATTTTTTGGTTTTTTTCTGACTTTGCATTTTTTTAGAGGAAAAGCGATGTCTTTCTCCATAGACCTGTCCAGACAGTCAACCTGGGAGGGGGTTAGCTCAAGTACACTTTTTGGCTAAGACAGTGCTGTAGCAGAGTTGCTGGGAATGTTTGAAAAGTTATTGACGAATTTCATCTGTTTCCAATCTTGCTCTGGTGCCAAGGAAGCACTGTTTATAGCAGGACACCAAATCATATCAGAGAGAGAGGCAACAGCCTCAGTCTCTAGGCAGAAGGGCGAGTCAGTAGCAAATTTTAGGTCGTCTGCCATGGAAAGTTACGGTTTTCTTTAACTGAACAGAGGCATGTTTGTGGTTCATCTGGACTGGCATCTGCAGCTTCATGGGAACAATGGCACCAACAGCAAGGGTTTTTACCGGTTGGGTTATGGAGTTAGGGGTGGGTTTTATGCTACAGCTCTGGTGTTGTCAAGCTCTGTTTGCCTAATGCCATGGCTGTTTGAAATAAAATAATAGTGTTTTCAACTGCCTCAAGACTTTATTGCAGCATCTAGTGAGGAATCGGAATGAACAATATCTCCGTTCCATATAGGTTGCCTCACATCTTCTGTAATTTAGGTAGATGCTTGGGAGGCACCAGCAGTGTAATAAACATCGATAGACACTTATGGAGGAGACGGTGATTTGTCTTTTAGTGATGGTACTTGACGTGCTGTGACTGTTTGACCTGTTTCAGTATATGAAATCTGTAGTGATGTAGATACAGAGGAATGATTGTGGTAGTTTGGAACTTGAACCAATGTAACAATAAAGTAAATAACCTGTGAAATGTGTTTCAGTTTTTTATTTTGCTGTATTTGTCAAGTGATCTACAGCTAAAAGACATTAAGTGAACAATTATTCAAATAGGTTATAGAAGAAATACAGCAATTTTTTTCTTAATATTTCTCTTTGTAATGGCCACTTGGTGTCACATAGCAGAAATGAAATTAAAAATCAAATGTCTCAGCCACTAGTTTGAAACACGTTAATTGAGATACTAATCCTGGTGTATAAGAAGCTCATTTATTTTTTAAAACCAGACTCTTAAACTAGATCTTTTGCAACACGTAAAAAAACAATTAGCCTTAATATTTTTCCATTTTCCTGTTCTTGTGCTGCTTTTGTCTATCTCATGGCAGGAACAAACCTCTGCATAGAGTTGTATGAGAGGGGAAAAAAAAAATCAGACATTAAGAAGGCATTCTGTGAATAAGTGATAGTTTAGAAAATAGACTTTAAAATATTTCTTAATGTTTTACAGCTTAAGAAACATTTCTTTATCTAGTAATGTTGGTTGCCAATTCCCTCATACACTTCTCATCTTCAGAGACTAAAAGGCTCCATGCATTTATTACTCCCGACTTGAGATGTCTTAAGCTATCTTAGGGTTCAGCACATCTGGTACGGACATCTTAGCCCTGACTCAGACTGATTCTTATTTCACAGAGTTCAGACTTCTGATAGTGTAAGGAACGCTTTTGCTCAGAATCCCACCAGCTTGGTGAGACGTCTGTTTTAGAGCTTTTGAAACCTGGCAGTACTTGGTTCAGGAACCAGTTTTAAGAATTGGATGGTAACCGTTGCACATCTGAACAGAGCTCTTTTTATCTAGTATTTGTTGCTTTCTATTGAAAAGAGAAAACAAACAATGAAGATCAATGGCTGTTGCCTTCATGGTCTTTGTTTTCTCTCTCCAGTTCATACTTCCCAGGGATCTCCCTTTGGGTTTAGCAAACACAAGGCTTGTTTGCTTTGGCTAGTATGGTGCTACAGCCCATCCTCTACCTGTCTTTTTCAGCATCTGTGCAGGATTTGACACCGCTTCGCAGAAATAAAGGGTTAAACCTCATGTCCGTTACTGAGTTTCTTCAGCCTTTGATAATGTTCTTAGGCTTCAGCACCTGGTCTGCTGAAGATGGTCTGCGATTCACTTCAGTGAATTGCTTTGCGCAGTGTGTGTCCATCTTGATTGTGCTTTACAATTTACAACCAATTGTTGCATCTCCGCAAGATGCAGGATTATGGAGACTTTATCTGCAAATTAAATGGGTGATGCTTGAGTAGTTTCCACAGTGGCAGCTGTTTTGGTCCCCATAAGATAGAATTTGTGACTTGTATTCCCTTACATTGTCACAAGCTGCTAGTTATTAAGCATTAAAATATTTTTATATGCTTATTAATATTTTACTTTTATAATTGTGAGTGTGTTAATCTACAGATGTTTTCCTGTTTGCTGGTGTTTGAATTATTCCCTCTTACCATTTGAGCATCAACATCGTATAATAGAGAGCATTGCTGTAGGTCAATCATTGGGCAAAGCTTAAACAAAACAAAAAGTCCCATAACCTTGAAACATGATGACATTTTTCATCTAACCAGAGCTTAAAATAAAAACAACCCTTCTCCCAGCCCTGTACAACTTAGTTACAGCATATGAATTTCTGATTCTAGAATGGAAAAGTTGAAAAGTTTATTTGATTTTTTTAAAGTAATTTCTAAATATTTAGTAATTTCTAACAAAATATATATGTAAATCTAGCGTTAATGAAAATCTGAATAAGGTAAGATCAGAGAGGCAATTTCGGGTAGCTCTTGACATTCTCTTGTGACTTGTACAATTTTGGTTTTTTTTATGGTACAAACATTCCTCATAACTAATAATTGCTATTATAAGAACAACAACTTGGAAACAGGAGCACGTACCAAACAATTTTGTAGATTAAGATACTTAGTTAGAATATTAGTCAGTAGAGGTACATGGATTTGTACTGCATTATTCTATCTAATATTATGCTTTTCTTAGTGTCAAGTCACATACCATCCATCTTTAAAACTCCTCTCAAAAGAAAAGAGTAGAAAAACCTGTTGGAGTTGCTATTCCAGAAGGAAAGGGTGCTTTGATCTTAAATGGTGAGGGTTTCTTGCTTTCGTCTCACCACTCTTACAGAATTCATTAATGTAGCCTGTTGCATATTTGAGACTTGGGTCTTAAACCTCAAAAATCTCTTAGGAGGTGGCAGACCAGGCAGAATTGTCATTCTCCAAGAAAGTAATATAAAGAGACACGTTTATATAAATACTTATTTGATAAGTACTTATTTAAACGGCTTGCTATAGGAAAGAATGGGTGGTTTATGACCCTTCTGAAAACTTCAGAGATCTTGATGGTGCATGTACCTCTAGTCTGATTAAGGGAATGCAATTTTGCCCTTCCTTTAAAGATGTGTACTTAGGAAAGAACACTGAAAGCTGTCTGAAATTAATAGGAGGTTTGTAAATGCTTTGAGATAGTTGCTTATTCGATTACTAAGCTTGCTTATGCAAAAAGACTTACTATGAATATTTGGCATTTTTTCATACCTCGGAGTTCTTGAGGAATGGGATGGGACCAGGGACATGCTATCTCCTTGTCTATATTAATGAAGTTAAAAGTAAAGACATAGTAATGGTTTTTAGTCAGGCTTACATCAAATATTTTTAGCAGTAATTTTAAAAGTGGTGTTTATATTACCAGGTCTTCCTCGTACGAAAAATAATTGGTCCTGATGCTGGGCAACTTTATGCAATGAAAGTATTGAAAAAAGCTTCTTTAAAAGGTACGTGTATCTTTTGAATTGCAACTTTAGAAAATGGTTTTCAGTGTAACTGTATCTCTTAAATGAGTCTTGTAAATACTTCTGTTTAAAATAATTTTAAAACTCTTAAATAGTGAGTTCATAACTCTTCTCTGACAGTAGCTTTTTCTAGATTAACTTGTAAGTTCATGTTTAAGAATTATTTTAAGTCTGGCCAGATAACTTTAATTATGTGGTAAAAAGTACTCTTTCAGAGTTTAAAATTGCATTATTTAATTCTGTTTACTCTTTTCATTATATTGAAACTCATTTCATAAACAATTTTCCTTTTTTCTTTCGTTAAGTTAGAACTCTACTGTGGTTAGAAATGTTAAGTAGTTCCCTCTTGTTATAGGTGCCATAGCAAGCTAACTTACTGTTTTGGCTTTCAGAAGACACTTTAGTGGCTGCAACTCCACTGTGTGTAAATAGAGACTGCTACTAGTTGAAGAGGAAAGAGTAATCTTAAAAGACAGAAAATACATACTCAGTACAGATGGTTAATTCAGAGTTCGAAGTTAGCTGCCTGGAAGTGTAGATGTGAACTACTTTCTTGAAAATAATAATCGTTTATCACAAAATATTGGGAAAAAAAAAGTAGACATTAAAGAAGCTGGGGCAGGTAAGAAACAAAACAGAGTTTTGTTGTCTGAAAGCATGTGTTTTGTGGGAGACTTAGAAATTAAAAACAAATAAGGTAACAAGAAAAAGTACTTCTTTAGACAGCAAAGACTTTCCATATGCAAATTTCTGCTCCATTTGTATTATACCAAATACATTTGTTTCATACTAGTCTTTTTTCTTTTTTTTTCCTCAGTTCGGGATAGAGTTCGTACAAAAATGGAGAGAGATATATTAGTAGAAGTAAATCATCCATTTATCGTCAAACTGCACTATGGTTGGTATTTTTTTTTTTTGCTACAGTTTCTTTCAATACTTGAAGGCATAGCTGATCTTGTTCTTTCTCAGTTTTATAGTGTCTGTTTTAGCGCCCAAATTAGGTTCTTGCAAGTTTAAATCAAAAGACTAAAAAAAAGAATGTAAATACGCATGTATCTAAAAGTTTTAAGTTAAGTCCTTTCGAAATTAAAGATTTCCTGGAAAATTCTTACAAGTTCTGTAGAGATTTTTTTACTTTTCATTGAGTAAAACCAAAACACAGTAATTCACATACTTGGCGTTTCCCTGTTTGACAAAGAGGAAATAAGAACAGTATTTTAATGATCTTATGACTAAGATTGTCTTCTGTGAAGAAGCAAGTAATCGTTCAATAAATTACCTCATGTACTGCTGAATTATTTCAGTTCCAAAACAGAAGTACTGCTTTTCACTGAAATTTCCAAGTTTTAAAAGCATTCAGATCTGTTTTGTAGATCATCTTTGTCACACAACTATTGATTTATTTTTTTTTTTTTAAATTTTTTTTTAAAGCCTTTCAGACTGAAGGGAAGCTATATTTAATATTGGATTTTCTCAGGGGAGGAGATGTATTCACGCGATTATCCAAAGAGGTAAGTACCTAAAATTTTATCTCCACTCAGTGTTAGGCAGGTGGGGTTTTTTGTCAGTATAGGGTTGTCTTCTATAGCTGTTTCCCTCATAATTCTTGTCATAGTCAAGTTTTTAATAACTTAGTTGGGATTCCCTTACATATTCGAGAATATATTCTATAACCTTAAGAAACATGAGTGTGTGTTGATTAGTAGCCTATGTTTTTCTTTGGCATCTACAAAGGACAGTTCTTTTGTCTAAAAATGTTTTGTTGCTTGGAAACCTAACTGAAGTAAATTTAAGATTTAGCAATAGAGAAAGGGGTTGTGTAGTTCTCATGCTCATAGTCAGCTTAGGTGCTCCTGGAAGCCCGCGTGTATAAGAGGTTTCTGCTGCATTGTAAAATTTCGTAATGCTGTAATATAAATCCTAATGCTTAATCTCACAAAGTGTGAACATTGAGGTTTTTTGAGACCACTCCCCTTCATCTAACATTGGCATGCAACTGGAACTTTAGTTTTTCATTCCTATTTTTGTTTTCTGGAGAAAGAGCTTCGGAGGAAGGAATATGATGCATCCTGTTATTTTTTTGAAACAGTTGTTATCAAATATTTATTATACGTTACCTTAAGTATTATGAAAGTGTTTATAAGACTTCTGTTTTCTTTCTGCAAACCTTTCGTAAGGATCTAAATTTTTAATGGCAATTTCTCAACAACTTCACTGAAAAGCTCTCTTACTGTGTTTTCACCAGTGTAAATACATTTATATTGCTAATGCATAGGAAAAGCCACTTTCTTAAATGAGAAAACTGGGTATCTGACTGATTTTTCATGACGTGAAGGAGGTGGTTGTATCCCCAGTGTGTAAGGCCATGAACTAGTTGGGTTTTTCCCCCCCATATACTTTCTGAAAAAATAAAGCTTTACTTTAGGAACAGGCAAAAGAGAAGGAAGAATGTAAGGGGCTTTTGTTTTCCTTTTTTATAAAAAGCTGACCTTGGTAAAACAGTGATCATGTCTAAGAGTTGAGCTCAAAATTAATTAACCTTGAGGCTAAAATGGAGGTTAAAAGCTTAAACAAACTGACCGACTTGTAAAGCGTTATTGGAACAGCAGGTAGGAAAGAGGTCAATCTCTGCTTTGATATAGGATGTGTAATTATAGAGGAAATTCTGGTATAGCAGGAAGAACTATTCTTTTGCACTAACACAGCTGGGATTACTGAGTATGCAGTGGTCTTAGATAAGGTCTTAGATGCAAGTCTATTCATAATAATACTAGCTTGGGGCACGTATTCCCTTTGGGAATAAAGAAGTAATAATTGTGAAGTTTGCTTACTGTTAAGTCTCTACGTATTTTTTGGAAGATTTCAGTTACCTTCTACGATGGCTTTTAGACACTTACTGTCTATATAGATAAGAAAAAAATCAGGCCTTTTTATTTTCTGGTAGGAAGAGAAGATATTTTCAAAAGTGCATGGTAAAACAAAGGCAGTGGACAATACACATGAGGGTAAATTCCGTATGGTGTTTCACAGTTTCCACACAAAGATTATTTTAAATTCATTGGGTTTAGTATGAGGTTATTGAAACACTTTTGTTGGTCTTTAAATTCTAATGTGGGTATGAGAGTTTCAGCTGTGGAAGTGAAATGAGTATTTAATGAAGTTTTCATTGGTAAAATTTAATGAAGTTGACTTGCATTGTATTTAATTTGACGCAGAAAGCAGTTTTCAATGAAATTAGTATTGGGAGATTACCATTTAGCATCATTGTATTCTGAGATTTGCATTTTGGCTGTTCCAAGGAGTAATGATATCCAGTGTTTCTCCTTGCCCTTTTGGATATAGATGAAAAACAGTATCAATCTTGCTCTTTAGAAAATCAAGGTGAAACGTTATGTAGCGTAACAGCTTTATTGTTCATACAACATTAATACATGTCACTATGGAAATTAGGAATATTTCTGTTGCCAGTAGAACAGATTACATATGTGCAATTCGAAGTACTGATCGGTTTACTACTAAATCAGTAAGCTCAGTTAATGTAAGTCTTGTTAGCTATCTACTGTATAGTTGAGATGGCTGTTCTCCCTGTTCTGATGTTTTCAACAAATAAGGGAATAGTTCACTTAATTTTAGGAATTGAGTTTAAGGTTTTAAAGATTACTAGCTCCTCCTGCAATTTGTAGAACATAACAAGAGCCAAAGCAGATATGATTCTTGTGTATGAAATTAGAAGCAACCTGTTGAGTATTTAGGACAGAAATGCATTTCTCTGAAATGCTCTATGTGCAAGGTCAGTCAGTTTTTCAGTATCTCACCAGGGTTCTTCAAATTTCTTTTCCTAAGAGCAGAGTACGTTCTTCCTTCAACTCCCACTGCAGATTCTCAGTCATTGTTATTTTCACAAAATGCTTTATTTTTGCATACTTTTTTCTAAATTATTTCTACTTTTTTCCTAAATGTTGGTAATGTGAATTCACAGAGACAGTCACAGAGACAGCAATTGTATGCTAAATTTTATGATGCAGTGGAAAGCAGCCTGTAGGATTGTGGCAGAAGGAGTGCTGGTCGTCAGTAACGCCAAATATAATTAAATTATTACCTTAAAACTTAGCTAATGCTCTGCAGTAACTGCTGATGACTTTAAGTATTACAAGTAGTTCTTTTATATACTTGATGGTTAGCCTGCATTAGCATATAATTTCTGTTAGGTGAATTAATGAATTATGTGTTTGTACGGTACTTCTAAAACTTATTTTGAAGTTTAGGCAGACGGGAGTATTTTTTTTAGATTGCAGTTTTAAAAACTGAAGACAAGATCAGAAGGTAAATCTATACAGTTCTTATTAGGTTATGTTTACAGAGGAAGATGTGAAATTCTACCTCGCAGAACTGGCCCTTGCTTTGGATCACCTTCACAGCTTGGGAATTGTATACAGGGACCTGAAGCCAGAAAAGTAAAGTAAAATGTATTTTACCACTATTATGTGTATTTTGCTTGTTGCTTTGCATTTTCCACTATAGTGATGTAAAAAATTAAAAATATTGTTGTTGGACTATGTAAACAAACATAAAATGTAAAAAATATATCTGCGATTTAAGTGAAGTAATATTGGCTTGTTAAATTAATGATAGAGGTTGGAGATGAAAATTGTTAACTATTATATTTTAAATGTTATATGTAAACATTCCTCTTTATGTGTATTGGTGAATGTGAATTTTAATTTTCAGCATTTTGCTTGATGAAGCAGGACATATCAAGTTAACAGGTAGGTAACACTTATTAGTATAGCACTTTCTGACCATATTTCTGTATAAGCTTTTAGTTATAAGCCTAAGATATACATAGTGATGGCTGGAGTGTGTGTGGGCTGGTACTTAGCTGTTCAGAAAACTTTTTTATTGGTCAGGCTTTTTGTAATAAATCTGTATCCCTTCCCTATATAATGATTCTTTATATAGTATTAAGTACTTTTATTGGAGTATTTTAGATAATCAGAGGCTGTGTCTGATGGTTTTGGTCTTTTACCAGATCCTGATGTCCATGCAGGTTCCATTGAAGTTAGTTTTCATGTTGGTTAATGTTTGCATAGATCAAGTTGCAGTATTAGTAGTAATATGACTGTAAAGTGCAGATCCTAATTGCTGTGGTTAAAATAGGAGAAGTGCAGTTGAAAATACAAAACCATAGATTGAATGTGGCTTTTTTAGTTAGAAAGCGAGCTGTATCAAGATTTACTGTGAAATGCCTTTCAGGAGAAGATATATATTTAAATCCAATTAAATCCTAAAATTCTCACTTCCTTCTGAAAGTGGAAAGAATAATTGATGGGATTATTGATTAGCAATCATTTACCCTTTGAAAAAAGGGATGCTTGAGAGCCTCGTCTTGAGAGTTGGGCTAGCATCAAGGACTTGTGTATTCAGTGGCATTGTTCAAACAAGGAAAAAAAGTATTCTGGGAATAAAGTGAGCAGATATGCAAGACTTCGTTATAGAACTCAGGTTGCAGAACCATGTTGTCTTATGTAACAACATTATTTTTAGTCTTATTTTATTTATTCATCATTCAGTAATACTAGACCATGCAGACAGTGTTCCCTTTGAAAGTAATTTTTACTTGTATCCATTTTTTTGTGTGAATAAAGCAGGCAGTAAACAGAGAAAATGAGGACTGTGGATTATCGTAAGGCTCTAAATGTGTAATATTTCAAATATTGAGTTGTTATTATTTTGAGTAGTAATATTGATGGCTAATCATCAATTTAATATGACTTATAGAATGGTTTTGGTGATACATAGTAAATGAAAAGTCTGCGGTGTCTCTAGATATCTGCAGCTTCTTGTTTCATGAAGAGCTGGGATAATCACGTAATATTCGTGAAAGCAAACAAACAAAAGCTGTCAACACTTTGATTTTGAAATACTGTATACAGTATTGCTTTTTTCTAAAGTTCTTTACTGGCTATATTCTTGTAATGCTGTTGTTGTAGACTTTGGACTCAGCAAAGAATCGGTAGATCAAGAGAAGAAGGCCTATTCTTTCTGTGGTACTGTAGAATACATGGCACCTGAAGTAGTAAACAGGCGAGGGCACAACCAGAGTGCTGACTGGTGGTCCTTTGGTGTTCTCATGGTACTGTATGCTTCGTTGCTTACTTTGCTTACAGGTCACAAATACACTGCATATGTCTAAAGTGAAAGAATGTGTTTAGAATAAGCTTGTCCAGATCTAATTATGAATGCTTGGGTAAGGGGAAGAGAGAATTCAATAACTGAATTGCTACCGAAATAGCAACTACTTTGAATAAAATTTACTTTTCACCTGCTTAGCCCTGTAAGGAGTACTTATCAGGAACCACAAAGATCATACATGTAGTCCATTAGTAATTTAGAACATTTGTAGTCAGTGTGAAATTTCAATTTGTATACTTACTTCACTTGGTTCTTGATAGTTAAAGAAAAAAAAAAAACTGAAGACTTGGTTTGATGGAATATTAGTTGCATTTTGTAAGAGTAAGCCTGTTGAATGAATACTGGAGTGGAGTAGTGAAATAAGCCAGTAACTGCTAGCACTTATGCCTTCGCTGTGATGTGTTAGAGCATCAGGCTGAAATATGCATATTGACATTAAAAGTGAAGTACTGGTTTAGAATTTATTCTTGCTGTTTTAATAGTACAGCAACATCTAAAACTAGGTTATGGAGGGGATTTTTATTACTTTAATTAAAGTAGCTTATGGATGTAAGATATTCCTACATTATCATTACATTACATTTGGCACTGTTGTTATCATGTAAACTGCCACTGAAAACAAAATTTTAGATTTGTGTACTTTTTTAATAATCTTTTAGAAGCTCAATCCAGTATGTCTAATGTAGCCATAGGGAAGAGTACAGTACTTAACACTTTGAGCAATTGGGGGAAGAAGTGTTGATTTAGATTAACATTTGTTCTTTTCAGTTTGAAATGCTTACTGGTACACTACCATTTCAAGGTAAAGATCGAAATGAAACTATGAATATGATACTGAAGTAAGTATATCTTCTTGCTTTTTGGAAAGTCAGAAAATGTAATTTTTAAACCTGTTTTAACGGCTTGTTACAGCTCCTTGTGCTTGAAGAGCATTAAGCTAGAACAGGAGAAAAAAGCCAAGCCCCCCCAACAAGTTTTAGATCACGGACCATGCAAATACTGTTAAGTGTCTGCAGGAATTAAAATCTTAGGGATGAACTTGCATTTTAATTGTAGGTGTGTAATAAAGATAAAAACAGTACAGTGAATTAGAACCGCGTTATTTACCACTCACGTGGTTGGGCTCTCTTGCTACTGTTACAGCATACGTTATTTTGTAAGCAATAGTTAATCAGGTGTTGCTTTGTGTACGTATATATGGAGAGTGCACTTACGTGCTCACATTTTTCATATGAAATTACCTCAGTTACAATAGAAGCTGTCTAACAAGACAAACTGGGTAAACTGGTGATTAGTAAGTGAAGTTGTTGGGCAAATATGTTCTTGTCTTTATTTGTCCTTAGCTAACAAAGAATTTCCTTTAGACCGCATGCAGAGCCTTGGGCCTTTTGAGGGGGTGACGGGGAAGGGGATGAGAGAGAAGCTCTGTTCTTAACAACATATGGCAGTTTGAACTTACCCTGAGTATGGGTTTATAGTGAAACTACCTGTGAAAGCGGATGGATTAGATCACTAGGCTTACTTGGAACTCTAAGGGATGCTACAGTTCTGCAGAAGAATTTCTTGCCTTAGCACACTTGTTTTCATAAAATAAGCTTGGTAAAGTCAGTAAGCTTTTATATAATGGCTTAATGAGCTACTTCTTGAGGCTCTCGCTTCAAGAGGAATATTAGCAGTTGCTTCAGGGGCAAGTAAGTTGGGATTTGGTGAGTATCTTCTGGCGTTGATTCTGGTAGAGGTATCTTGGTGATAACTTACTAGTGACATGAAGATATCTTTGAAAATACTATGTATTCCTGAGATAATTTTTTCACTCTGTTTTAGCCTAAAGCTTGTTTTGGGGACTTGGGTGGGGTTTGGGATTTTTGGTCTGGTGTGGTGGGGTTTGTTTGTTTGGGTTTTTTGTTTGTTTTTGAAAACTACTCATAACGTGAAATGTAAAAGCTGATGAGTTAAATGTGTACACTCTGCAAGACTTTGGAGTAGATCCTTGGTACATCGAACTGTGCAATGAAGTCTATGTAGACAATTTTTAGTAAGATACGTTTCTTCCTCTTACTTGTTTTCTGGTTTCCTTTAGAGCAAAACTTGGAATGCCTCAGTTCCTCAGCCCGGAAGCACAAAGTCTTCTGAGGATGTTGTTTAAAAGGAACCCATCAAATAGATTAGGTTGGTTCATTTATTTGGATCTTTGAAATAAAAGTAGTTGGGTTGAGTTAAAGAAAGTAGTTGCTAGAGACTCTCAAGCTCTGTATGGCCAGTAAGATTTGGCTTTAGATACCATTTCTTGTAAGCTTGGATCATGACTTCCTGGGTTTGGCTAATGAATGATTGCTTTCTTGGACCAGTGACTCTTAGCAGTGAGCCAAAGCTCTGACAGTGTCAGAGCAAAGAATATTGACTCTGTATTTGTGGGCTTCTTGTACTCTCTTTGCCTCCCTGATGAGGTGTACACTACATAATTGAGTATTTACATCCTTGGAATATTTCTGTATTTACAATGCCCTCAAATAACCATGTCTATGCAAATTTTCTAGAAATGAACTGATTTTTAGTGCAATCTTCTTCAAAGACTTCACCCAAAAGTGTTTTAAATACAGTATTTTCTTTGTTCAGGAGCTGGTTCAGATGGTGTTGAAGAAATCAAGAGACATCCTTTTTTTTCTACTGTTGACTGGAATGTAAGTACAAAATTATCCGAATGATAAAGCTGTTTTTAATTTTTCTATGTGTTGTAGCATTATAAGTATTTGCATCTGAATAGAGCACAATAAACACTGCAGTTCTGCTGACTGTTACATTCTGGCTTCTACTGTAATCTTACTTGGCATCTGGAGCTGTAGTATTTATGGTATAGAGAGTATTAATTACAAATCATGCATTTACTTTTTAAATAATTAAGAGTTGCAGCATTCTAAAGCTTAAATTGTCTGTTAGGGCATTTGTAGTTGGGAGAGGATGCTGGTGTTCCCTGTGTGCAGGAATCCTTCTCTTCAGTAAGTGTCCATCTAGTGCTTCCATGCAGGGCACAAAAACGTGCTGTGAATGTAATTCTCTTTGACTTCTCTCTAGTTAGCCACAGCACATTCCTATTTTATCAGTCATATTCCATTCACAGTTGAAGTATTGACTCTGGTGCTCTGAGATGATCAGAAGTCTGTATGAGTTCATGATTGCTTGCTTAAATTTTTAACAAGCACCTTGATGCTTTTCCTCTGCGGTTCTCTAAGCTTTTGAGATGTAGCAACCTGCTGTTGTAGTCTTAAAAGTACAGATCTGATAGATGAGGCAGATTCAGAAGAATAAGGAAAAAGAGCTCCGTATTGTTTGACTTGTTTGGTAACATTTCCCGTAGCACTTCAAATCAAAGCTACATGAAAGTAATTCAGTATTTCTGTATATATTTGTGGTTTTCTACTTGCTATATATTATTCACTCTTTCAGAAAACTCTTTTAATACAACAACAACAACATTTGAGTTGCTTACCCTTTAGCTTGGCAAAATTGCAGCACCTATGGAAGTTTCAGTCACTCTTAATTATATGACTTTGTCCTTCCACTTTAGAAACTATTCAGAAGAGAAATTCAACCCCCATTTAAACCTGCTTCTGGAAAGCCAGAAGATACCTTTTGTTTTGATCCAGAATTCACAGCAAAAACACCAAAAGGTAATTGTGCATGGTTATAAATTGGAGAAGTTTGTGGGACAAGAGGGGTCAAATTAATGTTACAACAAGCTTACTAAGAGAAAAAGCCAGTGACAAAATGAAAAGGAAAGGGTGCAACAGGGTTCCAGTACTTTGAAGGAGTATGTTCTCCTCAGCGGGTTCCTATTCTTTGAAATATTCTGCTAAACTTTGATTCACCAACCAAAAAAAAAGGAATATTAACAGCTGAATTATGGTTTCTAGTTATGGTTGAAGTGTTTGTGGGGGGGAATTATTTAATACTAAAAGTAAACTAAATTTGATTGCAGCAGTGACTATTTTTAGGGTCAGTATTCTGCTGAAAATGACTTGCTTTAAGTAACTTTCTTGAGCCTATTAATTATTATCATTATTAAAATTAAATCTTAAAACTAGCATTATAATAGTTTTTTCATTGAGCTGTTCCCCTCACTACCCATGCTGAATTTGCCTTTACTTTTGAGAAAACGGTGATTCAAAGGTAGAGAAGGGTGGGGAAAATGTACAGTGGACTGGGTACCTGTACTACTAGATCATTTGCAAAGACATCTCGAATAGTTTCAAGAGGCTTAGGAGAATTTAGCTTTAAAATATCCCTTAGATTATTGCACTACAAAGATTTCCAAGTAACTGAACTTGGAAACAAAAGACCGTAAGTGCAAACATCTACTGCTTAGTATGCTTCAAGTTTCACTTCAGTTTTCTTTAGTGAATTTTTTTCTTTACTGCTGCATCCAACTTTTAAAACCACTTGTCATGTTTGTTTGGAGAATGTCTATGGTTCTAAGAGGCTGCACAGAATTATCAAGCTGTGGTTACTGTGAAATTTCAAACAGTGAATTCAGAGGTGCACATAATATAATCTGAGGAAAATTTGAATATTCTTGTATTGCCTCACCTGTGCCTTGCCAGCAGCACATATACCGCTGAAGTAGCAAAATCTGTGGGCTTCTTTGTGATGCAGTCCTTGAACATAAGTCTATGATCTTTATTTCTTTCTCATAAGTAGTGTTGTGCTTCAATAAACTTCTTCCTAAAAACATGTATTCATACATTAGGTCCTGCAATGTTTTGCAGTTTTAGATAAAATCCAGGAATACTTGTTTTGTGTGTGTTGTTGAAATAATACAGATAACTGACTAAAAGTCTTATTCAACATGTAGCGTTGCCCTTGTTTGCTTCCCTTCCTTCAAAATGTTTCTTCCAACATATCTCTCCTGAATGTTTAAAAAATAGCCTTGCTGGGATTTAGCCATGCTAATCAAATGTGTGTGCCACTAGATTCTCCAGGCGTCCCACCTAGTGCGAATGCACATCAGCTCTTCAAAGGATTTAGTTTTGTTGCAACTACTACTGTAGAAGATCATAAAATATCACCACTCACCAATATACTGCCAATAGTACAGGTAATATTTTATTTTTTGGGAAACTTTTTTGACATGCCAAAGATTGACCAATATTTAGTGTTTATAGTCTCCCCAACAAAAAAAAAGAACGGACTATTATAAAATGTGCATTATTAAAACGGTTCCATGGGATTTTTTTTTTTATTTTTGAAAAGCAAGTTGCTGTTTTTCTAGAGACAGAATTCAAAAGAGAAAGCATGGGCAAGCAGAAGAAACTTTTGCTGCTGGAAACAATATTATGGCAAAGAGTGTCTTGTTGCTTTAGATGACAGCTTGTGTGTGTTTGGTTTTTAAAGCAACTTCATGGAAACAGCGCGCAATTTACTGATGTATATGAACTGAAGGAAGATATTGGTGTTGGTTCCTACTCTGTTTGCAAGCGATGTATACACGTAGCTACAAATATGGAGTTTGCTGTAAAGGTACTTTGAATAAATTTCATTGTGACAGTTCTGAAATTGTGTAGTAGATTTGTAAATTTAAATGCATGAATTTTCTGTTACTGTAGCTGTTTGTGTGCTGTGAGAAATGAAAAACAGTGTTTTCTTCATTTGTTTAAATTGTGTATTGGCTTCTATAGCTCTTCTTTTTGTGGGTAAAGTTATGGCCTTGAACTGGCTTTGCAATTACAAGCCTGAAAATGTTGTATGATGATGAGCACACCTGAAATAAAATGAGATCCCCAAGGGTGGAACTGGGCTGCAGAGTAGTGATGCTTCAGACAGTCCGTTGCATTTCCTCATCCATAGGAGCAGAATAGACTGCAGTAACGATACAGTTTTAACTGATAGCAAGGATAGAGCAAGAAATGAACACACAGTGGGATGTGAAGCTGGAAGATGAGTTGGTCATGATTAGTAAGAAGTAATGAAGTCTAGAATTTTTTTTTATTCTGTTGTTGAAGTGAGAATATAAATACAAAAAAATTTCTTTATTAAATAGACTTTGTTTAGCCAAGTTGTTTTTCCTGTTATATTTTGCAGATAATTGATAAAAGTAAGAGGGATCCCTCAGAAGAAATTGAGATTCTTATGCGTTATGGACAACATCCAAATATTATTACTTTAAAGGATGTATGTACCTCTCTTCCTCTGCTACCTCTTAGTACACAGTAGTCAATAAATAAATGTAGATGTAGGGAGCTTATTGGGATTTATTACATTTCTTTTACATAGTAAAATGTATTAGGAGAGCAGTACATACAGTAAAGTGTTGAGTATTTCGAAGTGTGACATTGTCCTGGTATTAATTTCTTCTAAATGCTGTTTAGTGAACTTGAAGTGAGAAATGGTGTAAAGGTTAGAAATGTCGTATTTCCTCTTACTTCAAATGAGTAGCTAATGTGCTGGTAATCTGAATCTGAAAAAGCAGTTGCATGTTGTTCTGTATATGCAAAGTGCCAGCAGCTAAAAATTGTCCATGGAGGGGAAGGGGAATGATAGGGCTACTCTCCTCTTACAACAGAAGTTCCTAGACTGAAACATTTAATTCCAAGTCATGAATTAGCAATTGATTACCTCAGCATCTCACAGAATGATGTGTAAGCTTTCTTATACTTAATGCTTTAAGGCTCCTGAATTGCAGAGTTAAATCTTTCAGTCCCTGATGTTTGTGCTTTATGTTCATACGTGAATAGGTGAACAATCTAGCCTGTAATTTTCATATTTATCAGCATGTATAATTATGGATGATCTTTTGTAACATAGAAGTGTGTATTTATATATGTATGCATTTGTTAAACTTCTCATCAGGTGTATGATGATGGTAGATTCATATACCTTGTCACTGAGCTGATGAAAGGAGGAGAGCTGCTCGATCGAATTCTCAGACAGAAGTTCTTCTCGGAACGAGAGGCTAGCGCTGTATTATACACTATAACTAAGACTGTGGACTACCTGCACTGCCAAGGAGTGAGTAATTTCTTCTATGACATAGCTTCTTTCACACTTATTAAAATTAACAAATGCCTTTTGTTACGTGCTTTGGTTGGCTTGTTTTTATGGCTGAAGGGAAGAAGATTCCTGAGTATTTTATGACAAAGGTGAATAATATAAACAACTCATCCTGTTATTCTGGCAAGCCCTTTCGACTCTAGTTTTACAGTTCATGAAACAGCAGATATTTGTTCTCTTATGCTTGTTGGCAAATGGTTATGTTAGTTCCAGTTGCATTATGAGCCAGTAGTCTTTTTTAATGACATTACTTGAAATAGAATTTTTTATTACTTGAAAGCTATATAATTGTGTAGAACTGTTAATAGGTATATTAAACTAGCGAATAGCTTTTATAAATTGCAAATTATGTACAAACAAATGTACATGCAACTTCTAAATGATAGATTTTAAAATTTCTCTGTTTGAAGGTAGTGCATCGAGACCTTAAACCTAGTAATATTTTATATACGGATGATTCAAATAATGCTGATTCTATCAGGATTTGTGATTTTGGATTTGCAAAACAACTTCGAGGAGAAAATGGACTACTTCTAACTCCATGCTACACTGCAAACTTTGTGGCACCAGAGGTATCTTAAACTGCCATGTGTTTTCTCTGTGCTGTTTTTAATGCATCAAGTACTTAAACTTCTTAGCAGTGCATAAAAAAAAAAGAAAAATTCTGCTAGTTTTCCTTAAATATAATTATACATACTTTCTAAACACTGGTGCATATGTTTATAATAAACCTGCTTTAAAAATAGCAGAATCCACCCTCAAAAATAAGGTGTAAGCCTGTTGAGAATCTTAAGAGATGATGTTCTGGGAACAAATACTGTTGATAGTTACTGTAACCTGTATATTGAAAAATAAATAATCAAGCCTCTGAAATTATCCTGGGATTGACTTACTTAGGCTGTGTGTAGTCGTATTGGTTTGGGGTGTTTTTTTAATATATGAAAAGTCTTTAACACTCTTTGTTTTACAGGTTCTCATGAGACAGGGATATGATGCTGCTTGTGACATATGGAGTTTGGGTGTTCTTCTTTACACAATGTTGGCAGGGTGAGAAATATTTCTTAGCTTTTTTGTTTATCTAAAATTCCAGCATGCTGCATGAATCCATGCTTTCATTAAAATTGTAAGATATTACATCATTGATTTGCATGCAAAATGACAAAGACACTGAAGTGGAACAGGAAGCTGTAAGTAAATGCATACATAAACTAGGCTTACCTTACAGGTAGCTTCAAGGCTTCTCTCTTCTGTAGTTCATGACTGGGGGATGCCAAAGACTCTCCCCAGTTTCCAGGAGAGAATTTAGTCTGTGAAAATATGTGGTGATTTTCTTCTTTCTCCTTCTGCCTCTTGTCTTCCCCACCTTAGTAGCCTTGTAGTCCACCTTCTTGCATCTCCTGCCACAGGTTTGACTCCTGGCCCTTTTGTAAAACACACTAGCTTGTAACCTCTTAAGCTTTCTAAACCTCTAAACTTTCATTAAGTGCTATGAAGCGCTTAGTGACTGAATGATAAAAGGTTTCCTGAATTCTGCTCTAACAGAAAAATACCAGGGTTTTTTGTCTTATAAATACTATCTATTGGAAACTGTTCCTCTTGATAAATTTTTACTTCCACATGTAAAATCACCACCACCGCTACAGTTTTGTCATCAAAACTCAGATTGCTGTATGATTTAAGTGCAAGTATGCAGATACTGGGCAGTATACTGCTTGCGCACTTGAGAAACATTGTGGCAGGTTAAAATGTATGGCAGGTTAAAAGTATAGAGGAGGAATGGTCCAGCATGAATTCCTAGCTTTCCATTTTGTTCCTCTTAAGCTCATCAACTGAAAGACTAAAACTAACTGGTTGGGATAGTTCCTAAACCTCTGTGGATGACGCTAGTTGATCTTTCTTCTATGCAGAGCTTTCAAAGTATTAAGATAGAATGCATTAAGCTTAATTATTACTATTTGCAAGCTAATTTGAAATCTAAGGGGTACTATGATCTAAATACTTAATCCAAGTGAGATTTGGGTTTTATAGTTAAAACTAACTTGGTACTAGCCTATGATCGTAGGAGATGCCAGAACATAGTCATATTCTTGACATTGTTAAAAGGTGTATTTAAGTGATTCGGATCAATTTAGTTCTTTCGAGTTTGTCGCAGTAGGGTTTGTAGGAAATAAGCCAAATTTACAGGAAGCCCTGTAAACTGTTGTAAGCCTTCAAAACTAATGATCTTGTGGTTTAAGCCTCCCAAACTCACTTAAGTAAAAAACTATGATGAAAATTTTCTTGTAGCTTTTCCCCAGATGATAGATGTGTGTACATTGTGCTCATTCTCTGTCTAATTAAATGCACGTACTCTAAACACGATATACTCCAGCTTTATTGGGCCATTCTGTTAGGATACTGTTCCAGGTTTGGATTACTTTACATGCTGTGGTAATCCAGCATAATTTGTGTTTATGAATCACTTCTGTTTAACTTGAAAGTCTGCACTGGTTAGAATGCATTATTAAGATACTAACTTAAGACATCTTTTTAGTCTGCATTTCCCGTTTATTCTACTTGATTAACCACAATTATGGGGAAAAGAAAATAACAGTTTTGAAAATGAAATGCTAATATAAGAAGTATTTAACAGTATATAGTGTGTTTCTGTCAGCAGTGGGATATATAATCAGAATGATTCACGAAATTTTACTAATTTATTGCAGCTTCTTACCTATAACGAGGTGTGGGTTTGTTTTGTGTTTTTTTCCCTTTCAACAGCTATACTCCGTTTGCCAATGGTCCTAATGATACTCCAGAGGAGATCCTGGTACGGATAGGCAGTGGAAAATTCTCTTTAAGTGGAGGCAACTGGGACATTGTTTCAGATGCAGCAAAGGTGTAAATGTGTTTTGTTTTGTTCTTATATTTTTGTAGAATTCAAGTAAACATCTACTGAACTGCATAAAATAGACTAGCCTAACACAGTAGTTTGCTATTATTAACTGCAAACTTTATTGCAATGAAGGTCATCTAGTCCAACCTGCTGCTCAAAGCAGGGTCAGCTATCAGATCTGACCAGGTAGCTCAGGGCTTTATTCAGTCTGATTTTTGGAAACCTCCAAGGGTGGAGACTGAACAACTTGCCTGGGCAGCCTTTTCCACTGCTTGACTGCTGTAATGAGGAAAAATCTTCTCCTAATTTCAAGCCAGAACATCTTGTGTTTTACTTTGTCCTCTGTCTCTATTCCTTTGGCCATGCTGACTAAAGGAATGCAATTACCTCCCTCAGTCTACTTGCTGTGCTTTGGCCCAGGATGCTGTCAGTCATCTTGGATGCCAGGTCACACTGGTAGTTGAGGTTCAGTTTGCTGTCTACCACCAAAACCTCACGGTCATTCTCAGCAAAGCCGGTCCCCAGCCAGTCAGTCCTCACCCCGTGCCTTGGTGACAATTTCTTCCTTTCCAAGCGCAGGACTTTGCATTTGTCCTTGCTGAATTTTGTATGACTCTGGTTAGCCCATTACTTCACCCTGCCTAGGTCCCTTTGGATGGCTGCCCTGCCCTTGAACTCATTAGCTCTTTCCCCATGCCTCCAGTTTGGTGCCCTACTGCAAGAGTGCACTCTCTTGCTTCCCCAGGTCACTGATAAAGATTTTAAATAAGGTAGGTCCCAATATAGGCTTTTCTAATCATCACTATCTTTTTTATTCCTTGTTTTTATTGGACCAAAATCAGGTGTTTGTGGGATTCCTTAAATTGAAGGATGACTTTTTACAATTATCTGTTAGTTCTGGTAGCTAACCAGTCTTGCATTAATAGGTTAATTTTTTTGTAGTGCAATTTCTTAAATGTTGTTCAACGTTGAAGTCATCGGGTCTTTTATCTTTGTTAGTACTTTCAGCAATTAAACTAGCACTTTAACAATCAAATGTATCTGGATATCTTGCCAAAAATCTTGATCAGCTTGATTATGCGGCTGTACTTTTTATTTAAAGACTGCATCTCTGATCAATTGCTCTATGTGTGTTCTGGGTTTGGTGTTGGGCTGGTCTGTAGGTATCTTAGTCACCACTGTTACCTTTTATAAAGCTTGGCATTAATATTAAATCTTATCCTGATCCTTTGGAACTGCACTATTTCTTCGTTTAGGTAGGAGTGATTCAGAATACTTGTTGGCTGATGCTGTCTTAGCACAAGTAATTCACTTCTGTATATTTAAGTATGCGTAACATTTTGTACCTAAAACAAAGGGAACATTCTGTCAGCTTGTTCATACTTTGTTTTCTTTCAAGCTATTCCTGTCTCTGTTCTGTGCCCTTCCCACCCAGCTCTTCTTTTGACCAACGTTGTAATTAGAAGCATTAGTAATAAGCTACCAAACAGGCAAAAACAAGTGTCCATTTCTGTTGGCTTTACTCTTTATATGGAATCATAGAATCATTAAGGTTGGAAAAGACCTCTAAGATCATCAAGTCCAACCGTCAACCCAACACTACCATGCCCTCTAAACCATATAGCTCTTTGAAGGAAAAATTCTTTGATAGTTTGTCACTATATATGAATTCAATTGTAATATGTAGTCAGCAGACCCCAATTGTGTGGTACGCGTGAGGGGAGATGTTTGCAAATAATAGCTTTTTTTTTTTCCATAAAATCTGTCTGCTAAATTTTAATAGGATTTCTAGTCTTTTAAAGATTATATTAATAATAAACACACTGAAATATGAAACATGCAAACAGCAGTAAGTTTACTTACAATAAAGGCTTGCTCTGTTAAACTGATTAAACAGTACAACACATTGTTTTCGGACTTCTGTGGTGTCAAGGCACAGAATGATCCAATTTATCTGCTGATTTTTGTGTGTGTGTTTGCATTGTGTCAATCCCTGCCACGTAGGGTATTTTTTTCATTGCTGCCATAATTAATGCTTTAAAGTCTGTGTAAGATAATTTTAACTGAATAATATGCGTGTTTTTCACTTTTATCTAGGACTTGTTATCACATATGCTTCATGTAGATCCACATCAGCGGTATACAGCAGAGCAAGTATTAAAACATTCGTGGATAGCCTGTAGGGACCAGTTGCCGCATTATCAACTAAACAGGCAAGATGCACCACATCTAGTAAAGGTAAGACAACCTGAAGGCTGAATGTTGCTTGAGCTGGTGGATGTGCAGTGAATTGGGTTGCTTTTAGAGCTACAGGAAGAACTCTTTTTTTTTTTTTTCTTCAGAAAAGAAATTGGCTTTCTTTTGTTTTCCCTAGAACATACATACTTAAGTTACGTAAGCAGACAAATTATTGGCAAGCTAATTTTTTTAACCTGTGTGTAAAGGAAGAGATTTTTCTGGGTGTTTTCTTTTCAAAGATTAGGGTAGCTTTGGCCATATAGGAACCTGATAAGACAGTTATCTGTGACTGAGCCTTCCACAGGTCTCCTAGCATTCTTATTAAAGAAATCTTTTGGGATTTCTTTCTATGACTGGCTCATATTGTGCTTTCCTAATATAAATTAATAGACTATGCTGCAGTTTTTCCACCGGTATTTTATGTTTGTTCTGTATCTGTCTTTCTGACTTGTGACACAAAAACATTCTACTGTATGCAGACAGCTTTTAAGTTGACTTCATTAGTTATTAGTAGATTCAAAAACAAGGACCTGTGCAAGCCAGTCTTAATTGTGTTGTCTTCATAAGTCAGGACCTGAATAGCCACTTAAATGGCTGTGTTTGATAAATTGATGCTAATGTTGCTTGGAAGATACTAATTCTGACGCATATTAAAAGGTTACTCCCACATCTAAGGTATGTAAAAGAAATACTCAGGAAAGAAAATGTCAAATATCCATGCTTAGAAACTTGAAGGATTCAGCAATAAATGTTTTTTTCCAAAACAAACTTTAGAGAATATGCATGACCTGCCATAAGTCCTGTTTGTTTTTTTTCATAGAGTTAATTAAGAATTTAATATTCAATTGTTTTATTTTCTGATAAAAATTACCTTTACAGCCTTTCATATATTTCATTGTTCTCTAGGGAGCCATGGCTGCTACATATTCTGCACTGAATCACAAGACATTTCAGCCAGTGTTAGAGCCTGTTGCAGCCTCAAGTTTAGCTCAGCGACGGAGCATGAAAAAGCTAACATCAACAGACTTATAGATCCACTGGGACACCTTAGCACACAGAAGCAAGGGGAAAATCCAATAAGTGGCTCTATTTTGCCTGACCTGTGATCAAAAGGCATCTATGGTTTCCTGCTACACTACTTGAATTCTGTAAAAGTCCTTTTTTTAAAAAGAAAAAAAAAAAAAATCCACAGGTTCATACTGTGTTTTACAGGCCGTATCTGTTAAATTAATTTAAACATCAGGTACACCATAATGAATTTCTCTACACTGTCCTTTAAGAGATCTGTTGCAAATATTATTTCACATTCTGTATAGTTTTGCTGGGTTCATTTAAAAAATGGTTTAGGGGACCGTTGCCAATGACCAAGTTGTACATAAAGTGTCAGTGTAAGTTTTCTTCACACCTTTAGATCCGGTTGTGAAGGACAAATTCTTAATTTTGTAATTGGGCACTTAATTCATTCAACTTAATTCATTTAACCTGTTCATTACTATTATGAAAAGCTGACTAATGTATTGTGCTGTGTTAAATGCATTAGTGTTAATTTGGAAGGTCTGTGTTTGCATGGTGCCAGTAACTGATAAGTTTACGTGAAAATACAAACAAAAGGGATGTGTAAGATTCTGCACTTTACCCATTAATTTGATCACTTGTGACCCAAAAGAAATGCTGGTTAACAAATGGCCTCTTACAGGAAAAAGAACATTTCTAGTTGTTACCACGAATTATATTGTGTCCTGCACTGAGCTGGAGAAAGTAAGCTTGTGTATAAACTGTCAAAATTAAGGATCTAACATTGGTACCACTTCAAACAACATCATGCAATCCAAAAATTTTTGTTATTTTTATTGTCTATCCATTTGTACAATGACTATGTTACTGTTTCCTCGGCAGTCATTTCCACTGAATATATGCAATATTAAGTTTGTTTGGCATATAAGACAAACTGACACTTTATTGTAACAAACTTGGCACGTGGATTTTATTTTTTATTTATTTGATTTTTATAGAACGTTGCTTCTATCTGAATCTCTCGCCGCATGTACAAATATTACAGAACATAAATGCAAAATTCTATTTGCCTAACTGTAGGGGTAGCTTGGGAAAATAAATAAGCTTTTCAGTGTGCCCAGATAAGGGAATTCTGACCAAGAAATTTCACAGTTATGGACAAGTTACTGACAAAATCCTGTCGCCAGCACTCACTCACCCTCTGTCTCGGTATTAGGACTTCAGCTGCTTCTGAATGCTGTGATGGAGAGGAAATTAATTTCAGGGCCAGAATTATCTTGGGGTTTTCTGACTCAAAACCAGTGCTAACTGCTAGTAGACTGGGAGCTAATGCATTCAGAGATTATGAACTTCAGAGATTATGATTACAAAGATTGTAAACACTACTGTGCAATTGTACTGTCATACTAGGATGATATGCATTTTAAATACTAAGTATATTAGTGACCAACAGTTAGAGAATCCAAGTGACCAAAAATCAAATGTAGTTCAGATTGATTTGCCATCATGGAATTTCCTGTTTCAGATACCTTTGGTAGCCAATTACAAGACACCGGTGATGGCAGAACTTGGCATTTTGGGACAGAAAAACTGCAGGAGAACTCTGGCCCAACTGCCAAGACTGGGGGTAGTAACTCAGATCTTAAAAGGCAGAGGGTGCTGGCAGGTTTTTGCTTATACCTGTGAAGTACTTGGTGGCATTGGAAGTACTGTTAGGTAAGCTGCTTTCTTTTGTTGTGGTGGGGGAAGATGGAAATTATCTGGCCAAATAGTTAGGTATGAATATATGTAGATTTGAGACTTAATGAATATAGCAAACATAGGTGTGCTATTTGTATCATGCAGAACATACCCCATACTAAATTTCTTGAGTGTTTGATAGATGTTGGAAGCTTTAGGGGCCATTTGTGCCTAGTTTTGAGGTGCCTGTTTGAAATGCTTGAAAGCTTATCAAAGAACACAACTGCTTCCTGGAAAGCTTGTTGTTTAGTACAAAATCGGCCCCTTACGCAGCTGGTTCATCCTTCTTTTCATTACTGAAGACCTTTGCCAGCAAGAATGCCTGTAAACCTCTTGTCTACAGTCTGTTGGTATAATTTTTTGTAGATTTACAAATGACTGCCAGAAGAATTAAAATTCACTTTAAGAAAAAAACAGTGGTGGAAATAAAGCCGCCTTAGCCCAAGGTCCAGGTATAATGTGGGTTGAAGTGTACTAGTAAAAACGGTGTTGGGGGTAGAGGGTAATGTGAGGCATGGAACACAACTAAAATGTCAAACTTGAATTATCTTCAGCTTTCCCGTAAGGTAGCAGCTGGTCTTTAATGGCTTTATTCATGAATCATTTAACAGTGTTTATATTGGTATTTTCTTTTAGCTTGCTTAGAAGCACCACATTATAAGCACCTTAAAAGCATTTTGCACAAAAGCAGTTGTAAGCAGCTGAAGGTACTTAAGTTCTTCTTGGTGTGCAAAGCAAAGGTGGTGAGAGGAAAAGTACGCAAACATGATGGATATTCTAATTCTTAGCAAAGAATTTAAAACATCTTCTATAAAGTTATCCCTGCTGGTTTTGTATCGTTGCTAGCCTTTAGTGCAAGTGGTACTCCTGGGGTAAAAGCAAGGTTTCAGTGACTGAAACATTACGAAGTTGTCTTATCACAAGGAAAACATATGGACAAACACCTCTGTTATATCTGACAGGCCAGTGTACCCTGGTATGCCAATTTTAATCCTTAATTGGGGGG